AGCCAATCCAAAGCCAAGACGGAAATGTTGAATTCATTTTGATCTCTCTTTGGTTGCTTTCCCCATCCTTCTCAATACTCTTCTCTACTCCCTCTTCTCTTGGTGCTATATACCATGAGTTCCTCGATCAAACGCAGAGGTTTCATCTTGGTCTTCTGTCCCAGAGCCTGAGACATGAAAAATGCTAAACAACTGCGGTATAATGAATACATGGAAGATGGAATTAAGGAAATGTCTATTTATTAAACCTTCTGTTTCCAGGAAGCCCAGGGCTGGTCTACTTCTCTTCCTTCCCTGAGGATGAGGGAAGAGTTCATTGCCTCATTTCCATCAGATCTCTGCTCAGTGCTGTTTTTTTGCCTCCATACACGACACTGCTGCTGTGTTATGACCATTTGTGTGCTAGTAAATGGTTTTGTTGTTGTTGATGTCATTTTGCAGTTGCTGTCATTTTGTAACGACTTTATTGAAATGTAATTTACATGCCACACAATTCACCCATTTAAAGTGTACAATTCAGTGAATTTTAGCATTTTCACAGATTGTGCAACCATCATCACAATCAATTTTAGAACATTTTTATTACTCCCCTCAATAGAACCCACCTGTACCCATTACCAGTCACCCTTCTTGCTCTCCATTCAGAAATTAATCTACTTTCTGTCTCTGTGGATTTACCTATTCTGAACATTTTATATAAATGAAATTCTTTGTGATTGGCTTCTTTCACTTTGCATAATGTTTTTTAAGGTTCATCCAAGTTGTAGCATGTATCAGTACTTTATTCCTTTTTATGGCCTAATAATATTCCATTGTACAAATATATCACATGTTATTTATCTGTTCATCAATTAATGGACATTTGGATTGTTTCCACTGAATACTGGTAAATGTTTGACAACTAGAAATCTATTTAAAAAATCATGACTTACATCATTTTCTGATTTCCATGGTGTGAACGTTCTCATCATGGCTGATTGTAAGCTACATACTGTGACTGAACACAGAGTTGTAAAGAGATGCTAAAATAGGCTCTTGTGAGTCCTTGTGAGCCAGTTCCAGCACACCACTAACCATCTTTACTGACAGACCACTCAAGTAACCAGAGATGGGCCACAGGTAGTGAGGTTTCCATACACTCCCACTTTAGGAACCATCTTTACTGACAGACCACTCAAGTAACCAGAGATGGGCCACAGGTAGTGAGGTTTCCGTACACTCCCACTTTAGGATAATAATAATAATAATAATAAAAGTAATACAACAGCCAACATTTATTGAGCACTTTTGATGTGCCAGGCACTGTGCTAAGCATTTTGTTCATTTAATTCTTGATCACTCTTTGCCTTCTTGGCTGCCAGCAGCTCCAAACTACCAATATTCTAAGCTTGGCTCACTGTCTTGGGGCTGGTCTCCCTGATGTTTCTTAAATACTTAAAACACATTATATCTCACATCTTTAGCACGTGCTTCCTCTACTGGATACACTCTTCTTCCAGATATCAACACGGCTCATTGCCTTATTTCTCTCAGATCTCTAGTCAGATGTCCCCTGCTCCTCAGAAGAGCTTTTCTACCACCTCATCCCTTTATCTGATATATTGCCAAGCTTTGTTTTTCTTTTCTTTTTCTTAGTGTTCTTATAAGAAGAGATATTTTTTTTCGTAGCACTTATCACTGACATTCTAGTACTCTTTGTATTTATTTTCTTATTTTTTTCTGTCTGTCTCCCCACCACGACATAAGCTCCATGAAATCAGAGTCTTCGTTTGTTCACACTTGCATCCCAGTGCCAAGGCCATGCCCTTCACCATGCTAAGCTGGGATGTCTGGAATTTCGAACAAGTAACTCTCTCCCCCTCTCTGCTTCTCCTGATGCCATCAGAGGAATGTTTAGAGGACATTCACCTCAGTCCCCATGATACCTGAGGAAGGGTGTGGGGAGGCCTGATAGCCAGCCTCAAGTCACCCTGTCCTCTTAACTCTGTCACAGGAAAGAATTCAAGAGCAGTGTCATAGTAGAAGATGAAAACAGGTTTAATATAACAGATAAGAAATACAGTTTTAACAAGAATGTGCAGTGTAGCTCCACAGACTGAGCAGGGTGCACACCAAGTTTAATATAAAAGTCAGAAATACACACTTAAAGTTTAGTATTGGGTGCAGGCTGGCTCAAGAGAGTGAGCAGCTGCTTGATACACCTTAGCTGGGGAAGTGAAGGCTAGCCTCAGAAAGTGAGCAACAACCCTGCCTTCTGTCAGGATTCCACTTTTATAGTATCGTTATCTAATATATATTCATTCTATCTAATGAATATTCAACAAAGAGGGTGGTTTTCAGTTGCAACATAGTCTTGCACATGCTTAGTTGGTCTCCTTTTAGGGCATCTTCTTTGGTCAAATTCTATCACATGCACCAAACATATTCAATAATATTCTGTGCTCTTTAGCATCTCTACTGGAAGGTCATTCAAAGGATCAATTCCACTTTCCTGAGCATGCTCAACTGCTAGGCCTATATAACTCCTCTCTACTGAGCATGCCCAGCCACTGGATTTGCTGAAGTCTGCCCCCTGAGGTCGCAATTTCCCCGTGTTGGTGTGCAAAATAGTTCCAACAAACAACAGTAACTCTCCCAGTGAGACATTGGGGAGTGGCTTGAAACCCAGAGAATGGCCTGAAACCTGATCCCAGGGGAACTGAGCACCTCCTATTTTACCTGCATCCCTGTTACCGGTTCAAATCCCGATGGAGATAGGATTCAGCTGACACAGGTGGGAGACAATCCAGTGATGTGGCTAAGAGCGTGCCTCACTCTGGAGCCAAACTAAATGGACCCTCATCCAAGCTCTGGCACCAAATGACTGTGTGCCTTGGGAAGTTACTCAACTTCTCAGAGTTTCCCCATCTTTTTTGGGGGGCGGGGGGCTGGCGGGTAAGGGGATCCAAACCCTTGACCCTGGTGTTATACACCGTGCTCTAATCAACTGAGCTAACTTGTCAGTCCTGAGTTTCCCCATCTTTAAAATGGGATAAGTCCCTTCCTCATAGGTCTGCTGTGAGGATTAAATTAATATGGTAATTTAAAGTGATGAACACATAGCAAGTGCTCAATACACCTTGTCTGCTTAGCTCTGAGGACATCTTCCAGTAGTAAGCTTTACTGTGTAAGTCATCTGTGTTTGTCTGCGAGGTGGAAGCCCTGGAAAAGTTTATATCTGCCTCCTCTGCAGTCCTATTACCCTCATCACTGGCATTTAGTAAGAACTCTTCTGGACTGTCTTGCTGTCCCAGGTTCACCATCTGCTTTTGTTTCCCATAGAAGAGGAGACCCTTAGGCTTCAAGAAAGCATTTTCAGCCTGCTCCTCTTTGCTGGCAAATCCCGAGGTAAACCTGATGTTATTATTCTCAGCCTGCCTAGCTGAGACAAGCCAATCTCAAGCATCTCCCAAGATGAAAAAGAAAAAAATGCCTCCCCCAGAGGAGATACCTTTACACATAAACTCCAGGACACTGAGAATAAAGGAAGCATTGGTGGCCTTGTGGGACTGAGTGGAGAAAGAAGGAAGAGATAGCAAGTCATTCATGAAAGAAAGAAATCATCCAGTATGCAGGATTGGCTGGCAGGAAGCCCCTGAGGCCCTCGAATCCCCTTTGCTATTGGCTCCTGCTAGACAGGGTCCCCTTAATCCAAGGACTGTTTTTCACTCTCTCCCACTGTGTAACCTTCCCTGCCCCAGGTCCATGAGTTTGGCTAAAGTCACAAAATGCTCTCATAGGGAACTTCATCTGCTAATTTCGGGGAAATTCAGTTCCATTAATATTTACCAAACGCCCGCAAGGTGCTGGGCAGTGTTAGTGGGCAGTCCCAGAAATCCTGTTAACCAACAAAACACAGTAACATCCCAGAAAAATAACCCTGCCCTTCTCTGAGCATCCTCATTTCCTCGGAGTCCACTTCTGGTTTCTGATCTCTGCAAAACATCAACACTTCTGTATACCAAGGCTCCCACTGGGCTCCCGCGGGGCCTCCTGGAAACGCTGCTAAAGGATGAAGGGGCGGGAAATAGGGAGGGCTGGGGAGGTAAGGGAGGAAGGAGGGGAAGGAACAAGGTGCGTTTCCCCTTCTAATCGTGTTCCAATCAGGAGTCGGCAGTGTTCCCAGGAGCCGATTCCGGCCGTGCAGAGACTCTTCCAGGAACCGCCTGGCACCCTGGGCTGCGGACTTTGGCTGGTCTGGCGTCTGCGTCTCCCTCCTCCCACCCCTTTCCTCCGTCCTGGCTCGGTGCCTCGCTCAGGGGCGTGTCCTGCCCTACCTTCCTCTCACAGTGGTCCACTCGAAACGCTGCTAAAGGATGAAGGGGCGGGAAATAGGGAGGGCTGGGGAGGTAAGGGAGGAAGGAGGGGAAGGAACAAGGTGCGTTTCCCCTTCTAATCGTGTTCCAATCAGGAGTCGGCAGTGTTCCCAGGAGCCGATTCCGGCCGTGCAGAGACTCTTCCAGGAACCGCCTGGCACCCTGGGCTGCGGACTTTGGCTGGTCTGGCGTCTGCGTCTCCCTCCTCCCACCCCTCTCCTCCGTCCTGGCTCGGTGCCTCGCTCAGGGGCGTGTCCTGCCCTACCTTCCTCTCACAGTGGTCCACTCATCCGGTTACAGCAGCAGCAGTAGCGGCGGCGGCGGCGGCAACCAGAGCCAGAGCAGCGACAGCTCCGGTCTCCAGAACAGGCGCTGTGGCCGTGGCAGCAGCTCAGTGCCGGGCACCTGCGCGGAGCAGGAGGAGCCGGACGAGCTGGGGTGGGGCCAGCCACCCTCAGCCGGAGAAGGAAGGGGCACTCCCCAGCCGGGCTTCGGCTGCTCGGAATAATCTCCAGCTGGCAGGGGACGGGGCATGGAGCTGGGAGCGCTGGCGGGGATGAACACGTGCAGGAGCAGCTAGAGGCCCGGGGTCAGGAAAACACTTGGTCCAAGTGTAGCGAGGCAACGAAAGCTGTGTCTGGGACCATGGCAGCCTCCCGCCTGGACTTTGGGGAGGTGGAAACTTTCCTGGACGGGCACCCAGAGTTATTTGAAGATTACTTGATGCGGAAAGGGAAGCAGGAGATGGTCGAGAAGTGGCTGCAGAGGCACAGTCAGGGTCAGGGGGCATTAGGCCCAAGGCCCGCATTGGCTGGCACGAGCAGCTTGGCTCACGGTACCGACAAAGGTGGAAGCAGTGTTGGCGGTAGCACTGGACCAAATGGCTCTGCCAACAGACAGCCCACTCCTGGTGGCGGGGACTGTGGTGGGGTTCCCCTGAGTCCCAGCTGGGCCAGTGGCAGCAGGGGAGATGGGAACCTGCAGCGGAAAGCTTCTCAGAAAGAGCTAAGGAAGAGTTTTGCCCGCTCCAAGGCCATCCACGTGAACAGGACCTACGATGAACAGGTGACCTCCAGGGCCCAGGAGCCCCTGAGCAGTGTACGGCGGAGGGCGCTTCTCCGGAAGGCCAGCTCTCTGCCCCCAACCACAGCCCACATTCTCAGTGCGCTGCTGGAATCGAGGGTGAATCTGCCTCAGTACCCCCCTACGGCCATCGACTACAAGTGCCACCTCAAAAAGCACAATGAGCGTCAGTTCTTCCTGGAACTGGTCAAAGATATCTCCAATGACCTTGATCTCACCAGCCTCAGCTACAAGATCCTCATCTTCGTCTGCCTCATGGTGGACGCTGACCGCTGCTCTCTCTTCCTGGTGGAAGGGGCAGCTGCTGGCAAGAAGAGCTTGGTCTCCAAATTCTTTGATGTGCATGCAGGAACCCCACTGCTGCCCTGCAGCAGCACAGAGAACTCAAATGAGGTGCAGGTCCCCTGGGGCAAAGGCATCATTGGCTATGTCGGGGAACATGGAGAAACGGTCAACATTCCTGATGCCTACCAGGTAGGACTTTGCGTTGTCCTCTCCTCCCGGAGCCCCACTGGCTTGGGAGCAAGCCTTTGGTTACCCTTTGGCATCCAGGAACACACTGAGACTTTACAATACAAATCTTGCTATTTAATTTCCTTTTTGAGTTTAGACTTAAAATGTTACTACACCATCTTTGATGTAAAGGTCTTTTCTTAACACACAGTGGCTTGTGAGAAGTTCATACATCACCCAATAATACCATGTGTTTCTCTGTCAAGATATTTTGTCTTTAAGAATATCAGTGTATGATTTTAGAATGCATTTATGAGTTTTTAGAAACAGATGTCACTCCAGAGTTCCAGTGTTACTCTGAAGAAAATGGGCATTTTGGTGTCTGATGTCTTTGGGGGACCGTAATGCATTTTCATTCTCTAATTCATGGTTGGAAAGGGAACAAAGTGCTTAACTGCTTCCCTATCCCCTGCTCTAGCTTCATGTTGAGTGAGTTCCAAGGTAGAGGAAGAGAGGAGGAGTGTCATGGGAAGAATGGGCCTCTGACCCATTTGTGCCTTCTTAGCATCTATTTTGACTGTGGTTGAAGTTAGAGAGGTTGGACAAATAAAGAGGTTAGTAATCTATAGGCTTAAATACAGCATTATCCATAGTCAGCTTTTGACAGAACTGAGCAAGTAGGTTTTTAGTTGGCAAAACAATAAAAGAAAAAAAACGATAGATTTTTTTTTTAGCAGATCCAAAGGCAATCAGCAGGGCTAATGTGCTGGTTTCAAGTGGAAAAGAAAATCCAACCTGTTGTTGTCTGGTTTTTCTAAGTCTTTCATTTTCACAGTCATTTGAACTTGATGTTAGATGCCAGATCTGAAAGCCAGTCAGTTCTAATTTCTTCAGTATCTATTCACTGAGTGTGATGAAACTGGATGTAACTTTCTGAGACTTCTTCAGGGTTCATAAGAATTGAAAGTTCTTATCCTTGATTATGAAAGTTTTGTAGTCGTTTGATGAGTACTTCCTTGAGTTGTCTCATAGATCTACATGTTTTTCTAGAGTATAGTTGCTGTTCAGAATAGCAAAAGGGGTGGGAAAGATACTAGAGGTAAAATCCTCTCTATTTCACTTGGCAAAAGGGGTGGGAAAGATACTAGAGGTAAAATCCTCTCTATTTCACTTGAAACTTGACAGTTTTACATTTAAAATTGACTAGCTTGCACTAAAACCAATTTTCATATTTTTGTGGATGTCTGTCAACATAACATTTTCATATTAAGGGATGCCTGTCAGAATACCTTTTTCATTAACCTTTTGTTATTGATTTGGTGCATTATCCATTATATCCTTCTTGAAGACTTGGATAGGTTTAGGTCCAGCAACCAATTAATGATTTTCAACAAGTGTCTATTTCTCTACAATCCTAGAAAGCCATGGGAAGAAATAAAAGCATTTAATAATTCATATGTTGAAGATTCTGTTAAAAAAATTGGTGAACAATAACAAACTCTTTTCTTTCCTATTATTTACACATCCTTATTGTGTTTTAAAAACATCCCTTTTTAGTTGGATGATACTTGTTATAGCCTGGAATTGCAGTCTTTTCTCTTTATTGGCTTTACTTTTCTTATTCATCCCCAATTGATTTTCTCCCATTTCTACAGCTTTTATTTTTTACTGTCCTCTTTCAGCTACTTTTATTTAATATTGTTCATATACTGTACTTTCTTCAAGAGCATAATTCTTGGCCTCCTTGGCAGTTAACTTGTCTTCCTTCTGCCTAGAATTGTGGTTATAGGCATATTGCAGGCATAGAAAATTAGGTTTTCAGCAGCTGCTGCTTCCTGTGGGCTCTGCCCTTGCTCTGCAGACAGAGTGTAAAGCAAAGTTGCCTTTTAATGTCAGAAGCCAATATTGGGAAAGGAGAGTTACTGGTTTTTCCCCCCAGAGTAGTAATGATGGCTGTAAAGAAGACTGTGTTGTTGGGACTGGCAAAGGCAGGTAGGGGAAGGATGCTATCTGGGTTGGGAGTTTAAGATCTTGGTTCACTTTAATTTCTATCTGGTTTGAAAGTTTCTCTTTTCTTTCTCCTTTGGCTTCTACTATATATTTTTAACTTGGTGTGTTTTTCTTCTCTTTACTTATGCTACTATCCTTTGATAAAACTACTTTTTTTCTTTATTATAGTACACCATAGTCACCATTAGTGTGACCTTGGGAGAATTTCTTAATCTCTCAATCTCAATTTTCTCATCCACAAAATGGGAATAATAAAACCTTCCTGGCAAAGATTATTGTTGTGAAAATAAAATGAGATATTGCATTAAAGTCCTTAAAACAGTACCTGGCACATTGCAATTACTCAGGAAATTATAACAGCTTGTGATGATAGTGATGATATCTAGTTCTCTAGCACTCTTTTTCTCTCTCTTTATCTCAATTGTTTTTTTCCTTGTTAGGGACTGACAAGTGAACTCAGCATATTTTGACCAGCCTGACCTTTCCCTGAGTCACACTCCACACTTAAGTTAATTATTTTAGAACCAGCTTTATATTCAAGGAATATAGAAATATCTGTCAATTGTTTTTTTCCTTGTTAGGGACTGACAAGTGAACTCAGCATATTTTGACCAGCCTGATCTTTCCCTGAGTCACACTCCACACTTAAGTTAATTATTTTAGAACCAGCTTTATATTCAAGGAATATAGAAATATCTGTCCTTCCACACTCTACTTAAAATTCTCCTAAATGTGGTTGATAACACCTGACCATCCCTAGCCTATCAAAAGTTCTACACTTTGTTCTTCTTAGTAATTCCTGCAGTATGAACTTTTTACAGAATTGTATTAATGTTGTATCCTTCCCCAATTCTAGCATTTCTCCCCATCCTTTTCATTTCCTGCTGTACAGATCTCTATTAATGAAAACTGACAACCTTCCAAATGCATGTTCTTTCATCATGATGTTATTTTCATTTTTATCATATATGTAAACGTCTTGAAATTTTTATGTCAAAAATATAACCATTGTTCCTGATTCTTTATTAACTACTATATTTTTAAGGTGCTTCTTACTCAGATTCAGTTAGTGTACTTTTTTCTTCAGGAAGTGAAATTCTTGTCACACAGTTTCAAAAATCTAATCATTTGATAATAGACTGATAATCCTCTTGGGGGTTTGTAATATGGGCAAGAGAAAGGCATTGAAGACACTTATAAAATCATGATAATAACTATGGGATTCTAGAGTCAAGGGTATAATATTTAATGAAATACTAAAGTTGAATAAAAGTTTCAACAGCAAAAACTCACTTTATTTTATTATTTTGCATTTGTTTTCTCCATTAGTCCTAAAAGAATTTGAAATTAGAAATTAGGAGAAAAATTAAAATTGAAAGTAGAAAAAACACTCCATTCATTTTAGGTATCCAGTATGGATCATAGTGACTGCAATTTAACTTTTCCCCTGACATTTATAAGCTATTAAACAGCTCACTTTAATATAGTAATGAAAAAATTGCCCTCAAGAGGTTGTAAATAAGAGCACTCAAGTAACAGGTGTTCTCTTTGAGATTATTCTAAGCATTCAAAATACAGCACTTTAAACATTAATAACAAGCGTGAGATGAATTTTTGTTAGTGTTTATAATGATGATACAGGTGTTTGATGGGGTTGGGTCTGAAAAGCAGCAGGATGTTTTGTTAGGTGAACTGAGAGGAGGAAAGGAGTGATGCAGAGGGTTACAGGTGTGCCAGGCTTTCAGAAGACCTGACCTGTTTACACAGCAGATTCAGTTATTCATTGGTTCCAACAAACATGCACCCAGAATCCATTACACCTAAGGTCCTGGGTAGGGGGCCTCTGGGTGTACAAAGGGGAGAGGACATGCTTCTTGCTCTCCAAGCACTTACAGTTGAGGGCCATGTACTGTTCACAAGTAACCAAAACCGACGTGTACTTAATAAAAGGCATCAAAAAAATGGTATTAGTCACAGAGAGTTGAGTCACTTTGTGACTGGGCTCACGATGGAAGACTTCATGGACGAGGTACCCTTCAAGCTGTAAACAGGGTTAGATTTCTCAGCTGGAGATGGTTGTGTGGTAGAAGTGACCCAGGTGCAGCAAAATGGCTTCAGCAGAAACACAGTGATGAGCAACCACAAAATATGTGTAGGGGACAGTGAGTGGTTTAATTTGGCCAAAGTATTGCATATGCTATAGAGTGAATATGCAAAAGTAAGATGAGGGCAAAAGAAAGAATGATTTTGAACACTTGGCTAAAGAGTTTGAGCTTAATCAACAGTGGGCTACAGGGAGTCCTTAAAAACTTAGGGTGATCAAAGTGGTGTTCTGGGTAACATGGTGTCAGTGGCTAAATGGATCGAACACGGGGAGGCTCAAAGCTGTGAAAATAATTAGGAGTCTATTACGACGGTCTGGTGGAGGCATGATGAACAACGAAACTAAGGCAGGAATGGTGGGAGTGAGCAGCTGGGGACAGATGGGAAATGTCCTGCAGGTGTGGATTTGGGCTAGGAGGGAGAGAAGTCAATGGTGGCTCAGATTATAGACCTAGGAAATATGGAGAAGGGTAATGCTTTTATCAAAAGAGAAGTTGGGTTAAGGTGAAAGATACTTAGTAGGGCCAGCTACGTAATTTGTGGAGCTTAGTGCAAAATAATAAAGCAGAATCCCAGCTGAGGGTGAAGAAGTCAATCTCCCTGTTCCCGAGATTCTGCACTCTAACACACAGCAACCTCCAGACTGGGAATTCTAAGGAACTGCAACCTCCAGGCAGAGAAGTTCTCAGTATCTAGATTGGGGCTGGGTGACAAGACCCCACTGAGTTGCCTGTCGAATGTGCCATGGTGCTGCCAGCTCCAGGTGAGGTTAACCACAACCTTGCTCCATCCTGAGATGATGTGGGGGCATGTACCTGACCCTCCCCATTCCCCAAAACAGACTCCATCCATAAGCCGAGGGCAATGGCAGATGAGTGACATGGGACTCTCCCCCAACTGGTGTGACA